TGATAGCGAACATTTGTAAGTATTGCCCCACACCTCTGCACAGTAATTCAAATACGGTGCAATCAGGGAACAGTAGAGAATGTGGAGTGATTTGTGGTCCAGAATGTGTTTTACTTTACTCAGGATTGAGACACTTCTTGAAATTTTGTTATGTATATGATTTATATGAGACTTCCAGTTTAATTTATCATCTATAATCACACCAAGAAACTTATGTTCAAGTACTCTTTCAATTTCCACACCATCTATATGAATCTGCACTTGTGCATTTCTAAGGGAATTCCCAAATGAGATTATTTTAGTTTTACTTAGATTTAGCGATAGTTTGTTCCTGTTAAACCATTTTTTAATTTTGCACATTTGTGATGTAATTGTATCCAGCAGCTCCTTTAGGTTCCCCCCAGAACAAAAAATATTTGTGTCATCTGCGAATAATACTTATTTTAATATATCAGATGCCTTACATATTCTGATCATAATCAATACCAGCCTTGTCAGGTCAAGTACCAAGTGAGTTTAAGCATGCAATTATTTATCCCTTACTTAAGAAGCCAGGCTCAGATATTTCAGTAATGTCAAATTTTAGAGCCATCTCTAAACTTCCTTTTCTGAGTAAGATCTTGGAAAAGGTTGTTCACACTCAGCTGATGGATTATCTAAACAACTCTCAAATGTTTGATTTTTTTTAGTCCGGCTTTAGGCCGTTTCATAGCACAGAGACAGCTCTCATAAAGGTTATGAACGATATCCTGGTAGCGACAGACTGTGGTAAACACGTAGTGCTTATACTAATAGATATGACTGCTGCATTTGACACAGTGGATCACGACCTTCTGATCTCTTGATTACAGCATTGTGTGGGCATTTCTGGCTTGGCACTCCTGTGGATAAAATCATATCTCTCAAACAGGAGCTTCTGTGTTAAGTTGGGCTCGTCATCGTCCTCTGTGGCCCCTCTGTCATGGGGTGTACCACAGGGATCTATTCTTGGGCCATTACTGTTTTCATTGTATCTCCTGCCACTGGGTGCGATCTTTCGTAAACACAAAGTTGCATTTCATCTATATGCTGACGATTGCCAGCTTTATTTTCCTTTCAGTCATTCTCATAGCTCCCAAATTAGACTCCTGCTTGATTGCCTTAGTGATGTTAAGTCATGGATGACTCAAAAGTTTTTAAATTTTAATGAACGTAGAACGGAAGCAATTCTGTTTGGCCCGAATCGTTTCTCTGATATCCGTGATGTTGACCTTGCTGCTCTGACCCCTCACCTGAAGAGCTCGATTACCAATCTTCGGTTAAAAATCGACTCTGCACTTACCTTTGATGGCCATGTGAATGGAGTGGTGAAATCGTCATTCTATCAACTCGGTCGTCTGTCGAAGGTTAAACCTTTTCTTTCAAGGCGTGACTTGGAGACTGTTATCCACGCTTTTATAACCTCACACTTGGATTACTGTAACTCCCTTTTAATAAGGGTTGGACCGGGCACTCTGACACGCCTGCAACTAGTACAGAATGCTGCGGCACGGTTTTTATCTAGTAAAAGGAAATTTGAGCACATTACTCCGGTCCTGGCCTCCTTGCACTGGCTTCCAATTGAATTTAGGATTCATTTTAAAGTTCTTTTATTGGTTTTTAAATCTTTAAATGGTCTGGCACCTGTGTATCTGTCTGATTTGCTGAAGCCCTATGTCCCCACTCGTTTGCTCCGGTCAGCTGAGCAGCTGTTGCTCTCAGTCCCCAAATCACGGCTGAAACTGAGAGGAAACCAAGCGTTCTCCATTGTGGCTCCTAAGCTTTCGAATAATCTTCCTCTTCACATTAGGCAATCGACATCAGTGATGGTTTTTAAATCCAGATTGAAAACGCATTTGTATTCACTGGCTTTTGACTCTGTGGTTGACTAACTTGTATTTTATTGTTTTTGCTGTGTTTATTATTTTATCGTATTTATTATTCTTATGGTAACTATTATGTTTCTATTGTTCAGTACTTTGGTCAGCCTTGCGTGTTTTTAAAGTACTATATAAAAAAACAATGATGATGATGATGATGATGATGATGATACAAACACTGCTTATATGGTACAAGTTCCTCTTTTTTGTCTGGCTTCCTGTATTTATTACTATGCTAGTATAGCTCTACACTAACTTCCTGTTTTTCAGTCTGGCTGAGCACTTAGTTTGTGAGGCACAAGTGGCCTTGCTTTACAAACCTTCATCATTGAAGTACATAAAACAATATAATCAGAAAACAAGCACTAAGAGTATATTAATTACATAACAACATCCTGAACATTTATGAACATCAATCAAAGATCTGAAATATAGAAAAACAAGAACTTCTACTGTCAGTGAACTCACCTCAGAGTCTTGAGTCGACAGTTGGGACTCTCCAGTCCAGCACAGAGAAGCTTCACTGCCGAAAACGTCAGGTCATTTAAACTCATGTCCAGTTGTGTCAGATGGGAGGGGTTGGATTTCAGAGCAGAGGCCACAACTTCACACTGAGTCTCTGAGAGTCGACACTGAGTCAGTCTGTGATTAGAAAATATAAAATGTGTTATTATAAAAGAGGAAATTCGGCATTATAAATAGACTGAATGTACATGAAGACAAAACGGAGTGACGTCACAATCTGATGAACGTCTGCTCTTCACATCTGTGCTTCAGCTCCTCTTACTGTGTTTGACATGACACAATGACTCAGTCTCTCTCAGACCTGCAGACTTTTAATGAGCATTTTTGTTTGGCTTTAATGTGCAGACGAAGGAGGGAAGATGGCATCACTTTAAGGCTTCCGTAATGTTCACGGTCTGTCAGGCAGATCTGATCCAAAGTCAGACATTTTGACTGTTTCCTGTTTTGAATCTGACTCCAGAACATTTTGAATGAATTCAGCTCAGTGAAGAGTTCCAGCCGGAGAAAGCTGATCTTTGTTTGCTACCTGCTGCTGTCAGGTACGACTGTTCATGTCGACACGCAGGAAAAATGTGGTAACTGTTACCAAACGGAGCAGAAATCTCATCACTGGACAATAATGACAACTGAACTCAGAGCTGCTGATATCATATCTGATTTCAAGTGAAATACAAAAAGAAATGATTAGCTCATTTTATCTTTCTTTTTTTTCTCTGTCACGATTTTTAACATTAGAGTTCACTTCACTACAAAGATTCTTATTTCTGTCTTCTCTATAACAGGAGCGTCTGAATGACCAACAACAGCAGCCGCAGATTTAAAATCCTGCCCCCAAATGACACAACACATGAACTACATGTAGAAGTGAGTCTACAATACACAGCATACGACTACCAATGCAGGATAATGCACACACACATTTCCTGATAAACAGAAAATATAATTTTATCTGAGAAACTCCAACTAATGAGAGTTGTTTAGTACTGTGTACATCTGAAGAACTAAACTACTAATCTACACTAATAAAGTGTGTTAATGATCACATCTGGACTCACCGAGCCTTTTGGCAGTTCCTCACAGCTGGAATCAGTCTCAGTTGTCCCTGCTCTGATATGTTGTACCTCCGAAGGTCAAACTCATCCAGAACCACCTCTGATATCTGCAGCATGAAGGCCAGAGCTGAGCACTGGATCTCAGAGAGTTTCTTCTCTGATCTGTTCTCTGACTTCAGGAACTCTTGGATCTCCAGATGTACTGAGAGGTCGTTCATCTCCATCAGACAGTGGAAGATGTTGATGCTTCTGTCAGGATACATGTAATCACTGTTCATCATCTTCAGGTTGTTGATGACTCTCTGGATGATTTCTGTACTGATCACTGTCTGACCCAGCAGACCTCCTAAGAGTCTCTGGTTGGACTCCAGAGAGAGGCCATGAAGGAAGCGAACAAACAGGTCCAGGTGGCCATTTTTACTCTGGAGGAACTTCTCCATGACTCTGTTCAGAAATGCATCGTATGATCGGAGATCCCTTCCAAAAAGCTTCTTGGTCATAGAAGTTATCTTTTGGAAGTAAATCATCTGCTGTCTCATCATAGTGCTCTCGTCCCAGACCTGTCTTGGATCCACGTAATCATTCACCAATCCTTCATCATCACTATAATTATCAGTATCACTATCATCATCTTCATACTCTTCCTCCTCATCCCAGATGAAGTTTCCCACCTGGGGACATAGGAAGTTCTCCACCACCTCTGTCTTCCTGTTGGTGAAACAGTGGAACATGTAGACTGCAGCCAGAAACTCCTGAATGCTTAGATGAACAAAGCAGTAGACTGGTTTGTGGAAGATCACACACTCTCGTTTGAAGATCTCTGTACAAACTCCTGAGTACACCGAGGCCTCTGTCACATCCAGACCACACTGCTCCAGGTCTTCTTGGTAGAACATGATGTTTCCTTTCTCCAGATGTTCAAACGCCAGCCTCCCCAGCTTCAGAAGAACTTCCCTGTCAGCCTCCGTCAGCTCCTGTGGACTCGTCTCATGTCCCTCATCGTACTTGTTCTTCTTCCTCTTTGTCTGAAACAGCAGGAAGTGTGAGTACATGTCAGTCAGGGTCTTGGGGAGCTCTCCTCTCTCCTCTGTAGTTAACATGTGCTCCAGAACTGTAGCAGTGATCCAGCAGAAGACTGGGATTCTACACATGATGTGGAGGCTCCTGGATGTCTTCATATGAGAGATAATTTTGCTGGACAGCTCTTCATCATTGACTCTCCTCCTGAAGTACTCCTCCTTCTGGGCGTCAGTGAAGCCTCGTAGTTCTGTTATCCTGTCAACACATGTAGGAGGGATCTGATTGGCTGCTGCAGGTCGGGAAGTTATCCAGACGAGAGCCGAGGGAAGCAGATTCCCCTGGATGAGGTTTGTCAGCAGCTGGCTGACTGATGACTTCTGTGTAACATCAGACAGCAGTTTCCTATTGGTGAAATCCAATGAAAGTCTGCTTTCATCCAGGCCGTCAAAGATGAACAAAAGCTGAGAGACAGCCAGCTTCTCTGCTGTGACCTTCTGTAATGTTGGATGGAAAACATGGAGCAGCTCCAGAAGACTGTAATACTCATCTCTGATCAGGTTCAGCTCCCTGAATGAAAGCAGAACCACCACACTGACATGTTGGTTCTCCAAGCCCTCTGCCCAGTCCAGAGTGAACTTCTGCACTGAGAAGGTTTTTCCAACACCAGCCACGCCGTTGGTCAGAACCACTCTGATGGGTCTCTGTTGGTCAGGTAAGGCTTTAAAGATGTCCTGGCACCTGATTGGAGTGCCATGGAGGGCGTCCATCTTGGAAGCTGTCTCCAGCTGCCTCACCTCATGTTGGGTATGAACCTCTTCACTCTGTCCCTCTGTGATGTAGAGCTCAGTGTAGATCCTGTTGAGGAGGGTTCTACTTCGTGTTTCATCACATCCTTCTGCCACACATTCACATCTCCTCCTCAGACTGATCTTATGTTCATCTAAAAGCTCCTGCAGACCAACAACTGCTGAAAGAAAGAAAAACAGAAAGAAAACTCTTCAATGTGTGAACAACACAACAAAAAGTCCAGTTTTCAGAAACAAGTCCATCAGCAGACAGATGTTTAGTCTTACTTTGTACACAGCTGCTTTGACTGGCTGTCTGCAGTCCAGCTCTGGTTTTGGATCTTTCTCCACACTGGGGACAGGAGGAGTCTCCTGATGAAGCAGAGTGGTCCCAGTATGAGGAAATGCACTGTCTGCAGAACCTGTGTCCACAGCTGGTACAGACTGGATCCTTCAGGACGTCCTGACACAAAGCACAGCAGGGCAGCTGCTCCTCCTCACAAACATCACTCTTCTTCCTCTCTCTGTGAACACATTTCTTTATCACTAAAATCATTTACTGACTTTTGCACAAAATATCCAAATTTAAAAGATGGTGCAGAAGTCCTGATGGAGCATTCAATCTGGAAACAAAGTGATGATTCATTGATTTCATCAACACTATTGAACTCATTTTCTTTCTGCCTTTCTCATTAAACATTCAGCAATCTGCTTGCAGTTTGCTGTGACTGCACATTTCCCGCAAAGACTTCACAGTAAAAGCCTTCCATTGGAGGGTGCTGTTTATATATTTCATGTTTTTCAGTCAGTGTATGCAGATTTTCTTTGTTTAGTTAATTGTGATTACTTTACAGAAGTAACTGATTAGTTACATAAACATATCCAAGGTGAGCAGGTACCCCTCCAGCATAAACTCTAAGCAGCTAAAACATGAATGAATGTAAAAGGTGTCCCAGCTGTCAGTCAGACTGTACTCGGTGCCACATTACAGATGTGGTTTCTGACAGCTGCTCCAGCTGCAGGATCAAACAGAAGTCCAAACATCTTTGCCTTTGTTGCTTCTTATTATTGAACAACACAGCTGAGCATTGGTAATGCAGCCTTTAGCATTAGTATTGTTAGCATATATGCAACAGAAATGTGGTCAGAAACTGGTATTGAGGGGCCGGCATAGCGAGAGGAGAAGATTGCTGTTCCCACTCTCAAGTATTACAACCAACCCACCGCTGACTCGGTAAGAGTCAGGGGGTCATGCAGTGGGCCAACCCTCTCCCACTCAGTCTGAGGGGAACCCACACTGCACACTGGTCCTAATGTCAAACCACACAACAATTCCAAGGAAGGAGGAGAAGAAGGAAAGACTGAGGAAAGGAAACAATCAAAGGGAACATTAACAGATCAGTTTCTGTAGCGTCTCCAGGTCCTCCTGGTGACCAGCCACTGTGTCCACACTGGCTCCAGTAGCTTCTCTTAATATATTTAATCATTTATTAGTTAGGTGTGTAATTCTCATATTCTTTTCCCCCAACAAGTTTTTCTCTGAGTTAAACTAATAAGACTTTTATCTGTGCAGCAGTTGTGATATGAAGGCTCCAGGACATCTTCAAGGAGACTAAATATTTCAGAATAAGCTTCACCACAATCATTTTCAGAGCTCTGGTCTCTGCTGATCAAACTACAACTGTTAAACTAGAACTACAGATTTCAAAATTTTATTTTAGAAACTTATTCTCAAAGGACAACATGAAAGATTATATCATTTTTTTCCAAATGTTTTTTTTTTCATAATTTTTAAACATTATTACATATATTTTGAATGAGTTGTATCCATGAAGTAAAGAAAAAAAAACATGTTTTAGAAGATCATTCATTGCAGTACGAAACATCTATGAGATCAAAGACATTTATGAAACATTGCCAACAGTATCTGCTGTGACAACTTTGTGCAGCAACTCTAAACATTTTTGTAACTGTTGATCGTTCATGTCAGTTTGAGTTTGTTTGGTGCTTCTAAAACATTTTCTTACGTTACTTTGACGATATTTAGAAGAATGACTTGTTTGCTTTGTGTCTGTCTTGCTTGCTCCTGACATTTACGTCATATGCACAATCTCCTTCTGAGAACCAGCCTATGCATTAATGTCTGTAATGGACATTTGTTTTCTGTCTATATCTTTTGAGTTATTCAAGCTGCCATACTAGTCAAAGGAGCTTGCAAAGAAAAGCGTCTGGACTTCTTTAAGTTACTTGAAGACGTTTCACGTTTCACCTCTCGAGATGAAATGTCTTCAAGTAACTTAAAGAAGTCCAGACGCTTTTCTTTGCAAGCTCCTTTGACTACGATGACCTGGATGACTGAGAACCTTCACAGACAAGCTGCCATACTAAATCCTGATGTACTAGATAGAGGATATCCTGGGCTTTCCATTGATATCTCATATGTTTGGTTGCCTCTTTTACCTCCAAATAGGCAGGAAATCACAAGAAATGTTCAATGGAGAGATAATTTTTTTGGGGTCAATGGATACTGAAGTGCAAAGTTTCTGCAGAGCCTATCACTACTTCATTTGGCCATCAGATTAGTTCAAGAACAAAGCTTAATAGGTTTCCATGACAACCAGCTGCATTCAAGCCTGACATCACTAAGCACAATGGTCCAGTGGTGTCGAGCACATGGCCACTGGACTCTAGAGCTGCGGAGATGTGTTCTCCGGAGTGACCAATCACACTTCTCCATCTAGCAATCTGATTCACAAGTATAGATGTGGTGGTTGCCAGAGCAAACCATCCAGAAAATTGGATTATTTTTTCACAGCTGAAAAACAACATTTATTCTCTATTGGAATCTGCATCGTCCACTCCAAAGGTCACAATCTGAAGGAAACATCTGGTTTTGTTTCCTGTGATTAAATCTGAGCATCAGTATCGTGGGATTTATCCACTACATCCACACCACTGTTGTTCAGTGTTGTCATGATGGCGGTCTCATTAACAGCAGCCAGTATGATCCAGGCTTTAGCTGCTGTGGTTGTCACATTCAAAAATATAGGTTTTTTGTCTGATTCTAGATAAAAATGAAAACATAACTGTAAATTCAGACACATGAGGTTGTGCTGAAAAGAATGATACCAAACAAGCCAAATAAACAGTTTTTAAAGGTGAAATATAGATAAATAAAAATAAATAAATAAATATAACCACTCAAAAGTCATTAAAAATGTCCAATTACATCCTGGACCCCAGAGGGTTAAACTTTTTTTTTTAAAGTAACGCAATAGTTACTTTTCAAGTAATTACTTTTAGAATCTTGTAACTCAGTTACTAACTAAGTTAATTTTTTGATGAAGTAACTAGTAACTGTAAGTAATTACTTTTTCAAAGTAACTTGCCCAACACTGCTCAGTACACACTTTCCCCACAGACATGAGCATCACTGTCCTCAAACAGCAAATGATCAAGTCTAACATTTTGATCTTTTCTCTTTCATTGTTTTCTTTTTAATGAATCTTTGTAACAATCTAAGGATGTTTCAGGTCATATTTATCCAGGAAAACACAAACATGTAAAGGAGTCATCAGAGCTCTCTGACCTCGTTGGTCCAGGTTCACCACTGAAGTTTGGATTTTCAGGTTTGGACCAGTCACTCCTCACAGACGGACAGCTGGACCCTGCAGACTGTGACCTCTGACCTCTGCAGACACAAACATGATTGAAGCAGCTGTGATCACACAGACTGCAGATAATGCAGCTGTTTCCTGTCAGTAACAGTCCTCTTAGATTAGAGTTCAACTTTTTTGTTTTGTTAGAAATTCATTTTCATTTCCTCTCAGCTCACAAACACAGTCAGAAAATCAACCAGAATCAACACTAATTATAATGTCAGGGCAGAATTATTACTATTACTCAGTGAGTTCAGCTCTCTGACCTCGTTGGTCCAGGTTCAGCACTGAAGTATGGAGGATTATCTCTGGAGTTGTCACTTTCACAGCTGGATCCTGCAGACTCTGCTCTGTCCTCCTCTTTCTCCATCATCATCTTCTTGTGGACTTTAGTCAGTCTGAGAGGTAAATCACAAACACTCCGTGAGTTCACATTAACAGAAGTAACTGAGTTACAGTTGCTGACCTCTGACCTGTCATATAACCTAGAAAAAAGGTCACATGATCCAGAGCAGGGATCACAGAAACCTGATCTCACCTGCTGACTTAGAAATTTAAGACATTCCGATAACAAAACACAAAACACAAGAAAACGACTGAACATTATGAACAGCTCTGAGTGTGATACAGTCAGCTCACTGCAAACTCTGACCTCAGTATGAATTAAAGCTCTTTTATGGCCACTAAGACACTTTAGGATCACATGATGTCCACACATGATATCTGTGACTGTCCTAGTTTAACATGTGAACTTCATACATGTAACATTCATATTGATGCAGATCTCAGTCCCACATCAGCTCTGCTGAATAATCTAAAATTTCTCTCTGACATCAGGATTCAGACGCTGTCATGAACACACCTCCATGTTTCTGTTTCTCTGACACACTGAATTCAAACAGTCTAAGGAAAAGCGATGAATTTAAAGCTCCTGCAGGCTCTGACTTTATTCCTGGAGATGTATGAATCACATGTTTAATCCATTTGGACTGTTTTTCTCCTCAGTTTGAACTGACTTACTTAGACTTACTTAGACTTAAATCCTCCCATGCTTTATGTGGCATATTGGGCAGCAAACGAACGCCACCAAGCTCGATCTTGTGCCCGGGTTTCAGCTTCTTCCAATGATATATTCGATGTCTTTAGGTCTTGATGGAATGACCTTCGCCAGGTGTTGCGGGGACGTCCTTGTGGTCTTTTAACGCCCAGGGGTTGCCAGCGCATCGCTGTTTTTGGAATCTGTGCATCATCCATGCGGAGGATATGGCCGGCCAGTCGGAGCCTTTTGCGTGCAACAATGTTGTGTTTGACTGTGCCACTCCTTCGCAGGATCTCTTCGTTGGTGATGTGGTCGATGTAGCGGATCCTCAGAATCCGGCGAAGACATTGCTGCTGAAAGACGTCAAGCTTGGTGTTGATGCAGGCCGACACCTTCCAAGTCTCGCTGGCATAAATGGCGGTTGGGATCACGATTGAATTAAACAAGCGGAGTTTGATCTTGAGGGAGATGGCTGGGGAGGACCAGATCTTGTTCATCTTCTGAAATACTGCAGCTGCCTTTCCAATGCGCCATTTAACATCCACCTCCGCATCGCCATCGTGGGAAATCACGCTACCGAGGTAGGTGAATTTCTCCATTTCTTCTAGCTGCTGTGTCCCGATGTAGATCCCTCGTCGTGGGTCCTTGGAGCTGACATGCATGATCTTTGACTTTTCAGAGCTGATCCTCAGGCCAATCTTGCCATCTTCTCTTCTTAGATCGGTCATTCCTTGCTGTAGCTTCAGCTCGTCTTCCTCAAGTAAGGCGATGTCGTCAGTGAAATCAAGGTCGCCAAGACGGTCTTGATCAGACCAATGGATGCCAGCTCCTGTACGGGCACCGGCTCGCCGCAAAAAGTAGAGGTGACAGGATGCAGCCCTGCCTGACGCTGGTGGTGATTTCGAAGAAGTCGGTGTGACCATTTCCGGTCTTAACGCAAAAGCATGATCACAAGTACAGGTCCTTGAAGATGTTAATGAAGATGGTAGGGACACCAAAAAGCGAAGGATCTGCCAAAGAGAATTGCGGTGGATGCTATTGAAGGCATTCTTGAAGTCGACGAAACTGATGGCGAATTGTTGCCGGTACTCGACGCACTGTTCGATGATGTTTCTTAGTTTGAACTGAAGAGACTTTAATTAAGAGCAGTGTTGGGGAGTAACGGAATACATGTACCGCCATTACGTATTTAAAATACAAAATATGAGTAACTGTATTCC